TGTCTGTCTGTCAAGACCCTTTTTCTCAGGAACGCGTGGAGGTATCAAGCTGAAATTCATATTAAATACTCAAGTCTACTGTCCCTTGGAGCTGTGAAAAAATCAAATTTCTAAGCCAACGCAATCAAAAAATTACAGCCGTTTATGCCGCAAATTTTCGACATTCGCAAGGGAATCAAAACCTACAGAGTACTTCCCGTGAAATCAGAATCTTAAAATTTGGTACGAAGCAACGTATTCATTCGTATTAACACAGATAAAGGAAAAATTGCGAAAAGCATAAATTTTTAATAATTTTAAACTTATATACCTACGGATTTGTTCGGAACCCCCGGTGCGCGAGTCCGACTCGCACTTGGCCGGTTTTTTTATTTTTGAATGTGTAGTATTCTCGTAAATAAAAAGAGAACCTTATTTATCTCAAATTATCGTATGTTATTGGAGTTTACTCCTTAAGAATCGATTTTCATGTATAGCTCGCTGTACACATTAGATGGGGAGCGAAATCGAGTGTTACCAAAAAGTGAAGTTCCATATTGCCCCTCTGCACAACACATTCCGCATCTCATACTGAACGCTTGTAAAGTAATAGCGCCATCTACTTCATTCTATAGGTCATTATAAAGAGCGAATTGTTTGACTTGACTCTAAGAGGTAACAGTGTTACGTAAAATTGACACTAAGGAGTAAGGAATAAACGCCAGTCACGCTTCGGTACTTGATACACCATTTTTTTCTTCTGCTGCACTCTAACAGAAATCCATCGATTAACCGAGCATTTCATCACGTTCCAACGAATTCGGTACTTCCGACAACGAGAACGATCTCGAGTGTGTGTTCGCTCGAGTTCGGTAGTCGGAGCTCAGAGAACAATTCCTAACATTCGGTTCTGTCCGAATTGTCATGTTCATTGGCTATGACATTCCGAGGCAACTATAGCAACCCTTCCTCATTATCCCCATCAGCTACGATAAAAAGTGGGAATTACAAATCCCACGGCTGGGCTTAGGCCTTCGGGACTTACTGTCGAACTTAACTAAAACACAACAAATTATCGAACATAATTAGAAGTTTCAAAAAATACTCAGGGGCTTCTAGTTTTTAAGATCGTTAAATAATTTTATAAGTACTGTTATTATAAAATGAACCTTAAAATACCTGTCGTACGGTTTACTCTTGCTTAAATTAACAATGATCTATAGTATTTTAAGTGACATCATAGTAAAATGGACCTTAAAATTATATTAAACGAATCCATTGTATAATTTACCCTATTACATAGATTTAATTATGTTATTTGATTTCATGAATTTAGACTCTATCTGCATATATTTAGTGTATATTTTACAACACGACCATTGTCAAGAATCGCCTAAAGGAATTGAAGGCAACATACGACTTCACAAGGTGTATATAAAGTCATAAAAGCAGGCATAAATCTCGCAACGAGTTTAAAGCTTATTTATATAACTTTAAGGTACAGTTTACTATACGACCTCGATTAAGTCGTAGGTGATTTTTAGCCGCGCATTGGTTTGGTTTATGGCCTATATACAAGATAGTTTCATCTTACAGCGAAATTAAACCGTATTTATATTAGCTTAAGGTGCATTTCTCAATACAACCAAACGGTGGTAGAGCCCTGCAGCAGTTTTTTGCTGTTGCACGTATGGGCCGGCTCGAGCCGGGTTGGTACCACGACCTCACAGAATACCGGCGTGAAGTAGAGGCTCTGCTTCTGCGTTTCGTCTGGTGAGTGCAGGTGGCCGGAAGCCCAATTCCCCCCCCCCCCCCCCCCATCAACATGGTAGCGGAATTAGACATTAGACTACCCCAGGAGGGTACCAGTACCCCTGGAGAATCCCTCGCTGAGCATCCACGACCATGTTATTCCAATCCTGGGCGTGGGTGCTCAGGCTGCCCCGCGTATTCTGGGGGGGGCAAAATTCCGCTCAAAAACAAAACTGCTCGGGGCAAGCTGAGCAACAATACCAAGGCGACCCCTGCCACGCTATCCGTGAATTTCTGCAACATCAGGGGACTTCACTCTAACCTAAACGCCGTCCACTACCATCTCGAGACGGCGAAGCCGGCCTTGCTCTTTTTGACGGAGACGCAGGTTTCCTCTCCGACTGATATTTCGTATCTCTCCTGCCCGGGGTACAAATTGGAGCACTCCTTTGTGCCTCGGGCTGGAGTTTGCGTGTATGTTAGAGAGGACATCTGTTCTCGACGCCTCGGCAGTCTTGAAGGTTCGGACCTGTCCATCCTTTGGCTACGCGTAGACAGCGACGACCATCCGCGCGTCTACGGGTGCCTCTATAGGTCCCATAGCGGTAATGCCGAAACAGACCGACTCATCGACCACGTCCAAATGGCTACAGATTCCTTGCTACAACAGGTCCCATCCGCAGAGATCGTGATCCTTGGCGATTTTAACGCCCACCATGCCGAATGGCTCGGTTCACGTTTAACCGATCATGCGGGGAGATCTGTTTATGACTTTGCCTTGGCATATGGTCTGACACAACTGGTTACTTCGCCTACGCGGATTCCAGATGTGGAGGATCATACACCTTCCCTGTTGGACCTTCTGCTGACCTCTCATCCGGACGGATATCAGGTTTCCGTCGATGCCCCTCTCGGCTCTTCGGACCATTGTCTGATCCGGAGTATGGTGCCACTCACGCTCCCTTCGCGGTTGCGTTCTGCAGGTTGCCGCCGTGTTTGGCATTACAGGTCGGCGGATTGGGACGGAATGCGGTCTTTCTTTGCATCCTACCCATGGGGGCGGGTTTGCTTCTCGCCGGATGATCCCAGTGCTGTTGCTGACTCTGTCACTGATGTGGTGCTACAGGGAATGGAACTATTTATTCCATCATCTGTGGTACCCATCGGAGGCAGATCTCAGCCTTGGTTTGGTCGCTCCTGTAAGACTGCATTGCGCAGTAAGCAGGAGTGTTATCAAGCCTGGGCTGCAGCTTCGGTGACTCGGGATGTAAACACCAGCACACTCAAAAAGAAGTATAACTTCGCCTCCAGGTCCTTCAAAAGAGTTATTGCCAAGGCAAAGTCAGAGCACATAGGCAGAATTGGCGAGAAACTAGTTCGCCTTCCTTCGGGAACCCGTGCATTCTGGTCTCTCGCCAAGGCTGTCCAAGGGAATTTCTGTAAGCCATCACTACCATCTCTGCACAGGGGGGACGACTCACTGGCCCAAGACGCAAAAGACAAAGCCGACCTTTTAGGCTCCCTTTTTGCGTCCAACTCGACTCTTGATGACGGGGGGAAAATACCGCCGACCATCCCGCGGTGTGAGTGCTCCATGCCGGATGTGCTATTCTCACAGCGCTCAGTTCGCAAAGCACTTCTCTCCCTGGACATCCAGAAGTCGAGTGGGCCTGACGGAATCCCCCCAATTGTGCTGAGGACGTGTGCTCCGGAGTTGGCACCGGTCCTAACGCGTCTTTTCCGGTACTCCTACTCCCAAGGCGTAGTCCCGAATTCATGGAAGACAGCTTTTGTCCACCCGATCCCTAAAAAAGGCGACCGCTCAGACCCGTCCAACTATAGGCCTATCGCGATCACCTCCTTGTTCTCCAAAATAATGGAATCCATTATTAACTGCCAGCTCATCCGGTACCTTGAGGATCACCAGCTGATTAGTGACCGCCAATACGGTTTTCGTCGGTGTCGATCAGCTGGTGATCTTCTGGTCTACCTGACCCATAGATGGGCGGAAGCAGTAGAGTCCAAGGGGGAGGCGTTGGCCGTTAGTCTGGACATTGCGAAGGCCTTTGATCGGGTTTGGCACAAAGCGCTTCTTTCAAAGCTGCCTTCCTATGGGCTTCCCGAGAAATTGTGCAATTGGATCACCAGCTTTCTTGCAGATCGGAGCATCAAGGTCGTTGTAGACGGTGCATGTTCTGACTACAAGCCTATTAACGCTGGTGTTCCACAAGGCTGTGTGCTATCACCAACGCTGTTTCTTCTGCATATCAATGATATGTTGCTAACTGGTAACATTCATTGCTATGCGGATGACAGCACTGGTGATGCTCTATACACCGGCCGGGCCAATATTTCTCGGGAAAACGTCGCCGAGTACCGGAACAAACTTGTGTCTGAAGTCGAGTCTTTGCTGGACAAAGTCTCGGATTGGGGGCGACTAAATCTAGTCCAGTTTAATCCTCAGAAGACACAAGTTTGCGCGTTTACCGCTAAAAAGAACCCCTTTGTCGTATCTCCTCAGTTTCAAGGCACTCCCCTTCTTGCCTCAGCCAGTATCGGTATCCTCGGAGTCGACATATCGAGTGACGTGCAGTTTCGTGGTCACTTGGAAGAGAAGGCCAAATTGGCCTCTAAAAAGCTTGGCGTGCTCAGCAGAGCGGGACAGTATTTCATGCCGGCACACCGCCTGCAACTTTACAAGGCGCAGGTTCGGCCTCACATGGAATACTGTTCCCATCTCTGGGCAGGGGCTCCCCAGTGCCAGCTCCTTCCACTTGACCGCATCCAGCGCAGAGCGTTTCGAATCGTCGACGACCGAGCCCTTTCCGATGGGCTCGATTCATTGGCACTGCGAAGAGATGTTGCATCTCTTTGCATTTTCTTTCGCATCTACCATGGGGAGTGCTCTGAGGAATTGTTCGGATTAATCCCAGCCGCCAAATTTCACGAACGCACATCGCGGCAGAACTCCCGATACCATCCACACCATCTGGATGATTGGCGGTCCACCACTGTGCGATTTAGAAGATGTTTTCTTCCTCGCACAACTTCCTTGTGGAATAGTTTACCACCAGGGATTTTTCCGGACCGATACGACTTAGGGACCTTCAAGAAAAGAGCCTACTCCTTTTTAAAAGGCCGGCAACGCATCTGCAATTCCCCTGGTGTTGCGGTTGTTCATGGGCGGCGGTAGTCACTTACCATCAGGTGAGCCGCATGCTCGTTTGCCCCCTCTCCTATAAAAAAAAAAAAAAAAAAAAAAAACCACTATCTAGATTAGCTATAATTCATTGAGACATATGTTTAAGCCGCACAAACGGTGTCATCGAGAGGAGCGAGCTCCAACTTAACGTCTTCGGACTGCAGTTCTGTTACCGAATCGCGTAGTCTGTGGAAACAAAATAAATTTATAACAATGTAGATTGCAGTGTAGCTGTGGTGTAAGAGAACACACTACCTCATATCATTCCGTAGGTTTCGTAAGAGGCAACAAAGGGAAACTGAAACACGAGACGGTCAACAGCATTTTCCTGATAACAACTTAATAATAACAAAATTTACGGTTATCAAACCGCCTGCTAAGCGCTGCAACTATAGCAAATGAGGCAATCTATGGGGAGGCCTATGTTCACCAGTGGACTTATGGTGGGCAATGTAAGTTATATTTATACAACGGTTCGGTACCGTAACGGACTTTCAAGCGTTTGGTTACGGATTCGAATACCGTACGGAACGAATGTTTGTATGGCCTACGAATAATGTGCCATGTGCAATAAATTCAAACTATGAATTAAAATCTTCCTACCATAGAGGAGAGATCCTTTTGTATGAGTTACATTATTTTTAGACATATAGAAATTAGAAAATATGTGTTAACAGACGTCATATCTTTGGAAATGCTTTAATATAATACTTTTTTTTAAATGTTAGAAAACTAAAATGTATTTCGTTATTCAATTTTAACTTCCCGTTTGAAAATTAATAATAATTTTCAAAAGTAGGTAGTTAAAGATTTCGGTGCGAAATTTTGACGTTCGATATCTTTAGAACGAATCAACCGATCGCGATGGGCGACACAAGGTTCGAAAGTGTTTAGCAGTTTCAAATATTTTCGGAAAAAAAAATTCAAAGTTGCTGGGATGGCCTGCAGTGTCAACCGTTTTTCAGATTTTTCTTTTAATACAGCCTGTCAAAGTACAGAACATAGGCCCCTCTAAAGATTGCCTCATAAGGTTATATTTGCCATAGTTGCATCGTTTGGTAAGTGGATTTCCAACTGGAGTTTTCTTTCTAGCCGTTATTGGTCCATCTCCTAGTTTGTTTCCCTCTGTCCCCTCTTACGAAACCCACGGGACGATATCAAATGGTAAATATTCTTACACCAGAACTACACGGTATTATTGCAGTTTCAAAGCAAATGGTGTCATCCATATACTCATTTCGGCTAGAGCATTATTTACCTGGTTATATTTTAATGATTCACCCATGGCCACTCACAGAATACCAGCTGTTATTTCACACAGCTTAATGCTACTGTATTTCGTATGGTGAGTGTAAAGAACCACATGTCTTTTTTTACTACAAACGAGGAATTCCATCTTAGTCTTCAGATGTAACAACGCATCTGCATTTTGATCCACTTACCATCAGGTGGACTGTGTGCTCGTTTGTCACCCTTATTCTATAAAAAGAATACTACGCAGTCATCAGAGTCAGTTTCAAATAAACAAAAACTACTTTATTAACTTTATTAATCCTATTACTCTTTACTAATCTCTCACTCGCAGTACCCTGATACTCACTTGGCGAGCTGCGACGGTGTGACGTAGACCGTGTCCTCGTTGGTCTGCGCCGTTTCGGAGGCTGGGTAACGGATTGTCCCCACTTTCACAGTCTTGGGGTTTATGACCTGCCGCCAAAAGTAATAACTTTATTTAAAACTAGCTGTTCCCCGCAACTGCGTCCGCGTGGAATTTATTAAGATTGTATTTCATGGGTTTTGATTTATTTGCGCGGAACTCTAATTGCTTTTCTAAAATAAAAGTAGCCAAAGTTACTCCTTGTAACATCAGCTATCTGCCAATCAGCTAACAGCTAGTCTTTCATGAAATAAGTGCTTAATAATATTAGAGTTTCAAACTCAGAGTGGACGACGTGCAGCGTTGTTTATTTTAATTTGGCTATAAATTATATCATAATTAAACATAAACTATATTAAATATTTACATATTATAGTGTAAGAAACTATTCCACTTCTGATGTTAGAAAATATTCCAAGAGTATTTAAATAAAAGAACATTACTCGGTAACAAACTCTGTTTACTATCAGGACCTAATTACATGATAACATCAAAGTATGCAAACCAACAGCAACACTACCCATCTCAATGTAACACAAGGCAGCCTCTCAGAAACACGATCTTCCTTGCCTACATCAGTAGTCCCCAACGGGCAAAGTAACGACAGTGAGACTCTTAGAAATACCGACTGATCTTCTTAATGGCATGCACGATACTTTATACTGCTAAAATAAGTGGGAGATTAACATTCTACACACTGCATTTGTTCGTATTTCCTTTTATTTATTTTTTACCCTCATTCCCGACAATAATTTAATTTAATTTTACTTGGTAGAGCCATGCTGCAGCTATATTAATGGTATAGTTGTGGCAAGAATGGGTCGGCTCAACCGGAGAAGAACCATGCTCTCACAGAATACCAGCGTAAAATAGCAGCTTAAAGCTGCTGTGTTTCCTATGGTGTGTGAAGAGAACCGCAGACCCTTTTTACTGGAAACGAAGCATTCCATCTTAGTCCTCACGGGTGACAACGCATCTGCATTTTGATTCGTAATTGAGGATAGATGTAGATGTCTATGGGCCGCAGCAACCACTTACCAGCAGGTGGACTATGTGCTCGTTTGTCACCCTTATCCAAAAAACTAACACTAACTTCATATGAAACAATTTTCAGTCTTTTGGTCCAAACTTGACTATAGTTTAATAGGATTTAAAGAAATTATTAATACTCGACTATTAATCGTTTATCTTCAAAATCGATTACGAAAGATAATCGACTAGCAACATCATATTTGAACTTACAGCCGCCAATTCCGGAACAGGAAACTCGGCAAAATCGGCCTCCACGCATCTCCAGGGCCGGTGCAGCATCAGAAGGTTACGTGCCTCCGCCTGAAGCGCCGCCAAACGCTCCTGTGAAATGTACAAATTTCCTTGGTATGACTTTCCATTGACATCCGTCGAGTTGGGGGTTGACATTTTTTTTACAGGAAGGTATTATAAGCACACACAAAGTTTCAACATTGGGAGACGCGTACTTTTCGAGAAAAAAATATTGAAAATCAATTATTTTTGCAATATTTATGTCAATCCCTACCACAGATTATATCGAATTCTCGAATTATATTTAAATAACAAAATTATTTTATTCCGAATTTCCATTGACGTTCGTCAAATTGAGAGGGGATGGGTGGGGCGTGGGGGGGAAGGTGTACTACCCCCTTAAAAGGAAAGTTTCGGAGCCTTTTCTAGTTTTTTTTCATTTTTAATTCTGAGGAAATTTTCCCCATTTTATAGATTAATAAGAAAATTAAGTGTAAAAAACCAAGGAGACCCCTTGGGGGGAAGGGGGTTCCCCCTTCCTTAGGGGAAAAAAAAAAATTGGGGGACTGATTAGAGGGATTTCTGTATCTATTTTGAAACTGCAACGTCTCCGGCGCTGCGGCAAGAGCAGCCTCTGAAAGAATGCCTGCGATTTGTTACGCAAAGTCGTAGAGGCTGCTCCCCCCTACTCGCCTCCGGCTCTATAAAACACTCTAGGAATGGGACAGACTCGTACCAGGTGGAATTGGGGTAAATCAATCGGTTCTTTGACATAAGTTGAACCTAACCTATTTTAATCTATGTGATACATCAGCTTACGATTCGAATCGATTTAAAAATCGATCTTTTTCGGAAAGAATCGACATCCCTACTGCCGATGACAATGACAATACAAAATAGCGTCAGTTTTACGGTAAACACTACACATTTTAATAGCTCGTAATGAAAATAATTCTGTAATTGAAATAAACGTCATATCGACACTCTGCTACGATGTATTGTCATTCATTCATTTATAGTAAATCATTCAAGTATTGATTCGCTTCACGAACCGGGTCATTAGGGTCATTCAATCAAAAGGATCATTTCGAGTTTCAGTACTCTATGATCTGTCATGCCGTGTAGTGACGGTTAAGAATATCCACTACCCCATATCTTCCCGTGGGTGTCGTAAAAGGCGACAAAGGGAAACAGGCAGGAGATGGGCAGCAGCATCTTCCTGGTAACGGCAAAAATACAATAAAAAACTGCGGTTGCCAACCCGCTCGCCAAGCGTGGCAACTATGGCAATATACCCCCCATGATGAAAGTTACGAAGAGACGGCCCCCAGTCCCCGGCGGCCCCGCTATTCCTGGCTACGGTGGCGACCATGGTAACGGCAGGGCAGGGGGTGCTAAGAATCTCCGGTGGAGGTTCGGTTGCCACCTACGACGACTCGACCTGGCAATATACAACGCACGCACCCTGAGGACTGACGAGAAGATTGTGGAGCTGGAAGAAGAGATAGACAAGTTACGCTGGCATATTATAGGATTATCCGAAGTCCGAAGAGAGGGGGAGGACACGGTAATCCTCTAATCCGGCAACTTGCTCTATTACCGGGAGGGCGACCATCTGTCCCAAGGAGGTGTCGGATTTATTGTCCACAAGTCTCTCGTTAACAACGTTGTAAAGATTGAGAGTGTGTCGACGAGGGTTGCGTACCTTATACTCAGAATCACCAAACGGTATTCGCTGAAGGTCATACAGGTTTACGCACCAACCTTGGCACACCCCGATCAGGAGTTGGAGGAAATGTATGAGGATATCTCTAGAGGCATGCATTCTTCCAAAACCCAATATACGGTGTTAATGGGAGACTTCAATGCAAAACTAGGCACAAGAGAGAACGGTGAGCTGAAAGTGGGGAAATTTGGAATAGGGCAACGGAACCCAAGGGGCCAGCAGCTGGCCGACTTCATGGAGAAAGAGGGACTCTTTATGATGAACTCTTTCTTCCAGAAGCGGCCCCACAGGAAGTGGACCTGGTCGAGCCCCGACGGTTCGACAAAAAATGAGATTGACTTCATTATGACGACCAGACGACAACTGTTCAGTGATGTCTCAGTGATCGCGAGGGTGAAAACCGGCAGCGATCACCGAATGGTTAGAGGCACACTGAACCTAAACGTTAAGTTGGAGAGGTCTCGTCTAATGAAATCAACGCTCCGTCCCCCTCGTGCTCTAATCCAAAGTCCCGAAACCTTTCAGCTCGAGTTACAAAACCGTTTTCAGTGCCTAGAAGACTGCAATGAAGTGGACGATTTGAATCACAAGCTCGTGGAAACTGTCCATGCGGTCGGAGCTAAGTTCTGCAAGACCCGCCGCAGAAGAACACAAAAACTCTCCGAACACACTCTTAATCTCATGGCTGTTAGACGGGAGATGAAGCTACATTCTTCAACAGATTTGACAGCATACAGGCAACTGAAATGACAGATCTCCAAATGCATGCGGCGGGACTTACGCAACTTCAATACAGCTCGTATTGAAGAAGCGATCGAGCGGAACCAAGGCTCCAAAGTCTTTGCCAGAGATCTGTCTGCCAGAAAGAACCAACTGTCAAAGCTGAAAACCGAATGTGGCAGCATCGTTTTCGGGGCACCTGAGATTTTGAGTGAGATTGAGAGGTTCTATGGGCAGCTGTACACGTCATCGTTGGAGCCGCACGCAAGTGTGAGTAAAGATCCAAGAGCGAGTCTTATCCGACATTATTCCGATGATATCCCGGACGTCAGTCTGAGCGAGATTAGAATAGCTCTCCAGCACCTTAAAAACAGCAAGGCCCCAGGCGAGGATGGAATTACAGCGGAGCTTCTGAAAGCAGGTGGAAAACCGGTACTTGAAGTCCTTCAGAAGCTCTTTAATTCCGTCCTCCATGGTGGCATTACACCGGAGGCGTGGAGCAGAAGTGCGGTGGTTTTGTTCTTCAAGAAAGGCGACAACGCTCTCTTGAAGAACTACAGACCGATTTACCTTCTGAGCCGCGTCTACTTGCTGTTTTCGAGAGTCATTACGAATCGTCTCGCGCGCAGACTTGACGACTTCCAGCCTCCCGAACAAGCCGGTTTCCGAAAAGGCTTTAGTACCGTAGACCACATACATACCCTTCGGCAAATTGTACAGAAGTCCGAGGAGTACAATTTGCCACTATGTCTGGCGTATGTGGACTATGAGAAAGCCTTTGATTCCGTCGAAATTTGGGCGGTGCTGCAGTCCCTTCAGCGATGCCAAGTTGACTGTCGGTATATCAAAGTGTTGAAGTGCTTGTACAGTAGGGCTACGATGGCTATCCGAGTACAGAACCAGAGTACGAAACCTATCCAATAGCAGAGAGGTGTAAGACAGGGTGACGTCATATCCCCGAAACTCTTTACCGCTGCATTGGAAGATGTTTTCAAGCTTCTGGACTGGAAAGGATACGGTATCAACATCAATGGCGAGTACATCACTCACCTTCGATTTGCCGACGATATAATCCTTATGGCAAAATCGCTGGAGGACCTAAGCACTATGCTCAATGACCTCAATAGTGTTTCCCAACGGATAGGTCTTAAGATGAACATGGACAAAACAAAGATCATGTTTAATGTCCATGTCACACCTATGCCGGTAGTTGTTGGGAACACTAAGCTCGAAGTTGTTGACGAGTATGTTTACCTGGGACAAATAGTCCGACTAGGTAAGTCCAACTTCGACCTAGAGGTCAACCGACGGATTCAACTCGGTTGGGCAGCGTTCGGGAAATTACGGCACATCTTCTCGTCAGATATACCTCAAAACTTGAAAACGAGACTGTACACCCAGTGCGTGTTGCCAGTGATGACATACGGAACTGAGACGTGGTCCTTCACTGCTGGCCGGATGAGGAAGCTCAAGGTCGCTCAGCGAGCTATGGAGAGGGCTATGCTCGGAGTTTCTCTTCGTGATAAACTCAGAAATGAGGATATCCACAGTAGAACCAGAGTGACCGACATAGCCCAACGGATTAGTAAGCTGAAGTGGCAATGGGCCGGCCATATAGTTCGAAGAACCGACAACCGATGGGGAAGAAAGGTTCTCGAGTGGCAGCCTCGTACCGTCAGGCGAAGTGTAGGGCGTCCCCCCACCACTAGATGGAATGACGACCTGGTAAGATATGCAGGAAGTCGATGGATGCAGGTGGCTCAGGACCGTGCTTTGTGGCATTCTTTGGGGGAGGCCTATGTTCAGCAGTGGACTTGTGAAGACCAGCTCGATAATGGTCGCGGTTATCGGACATTACTATACTCTTTGGTCGGTAGCGGTTCATTCAGTTTCAAACAACTTAATCACACATACAAAATTTCATTAAAATCGGTTCAGCCGTTTAGAAGTTCAGTCACATAAACACGGACTGAAAAATTATTTATTATATAGTGTATTTCTTTTAGCAGAAAGCCTTGTAGCCTTTGTCATAATAAATAGGGAAAAAATAACAATGTCTGTGCACGGGATGAACTCACTTCGATCTGCCGTCTTATCTCCCGTTGCTTCTCCTTATGTTGCTGCAGCGCTTTGCCGTATTTGCTTGGGTCATCGGGGAACTTCACAAGACCCGAACGCGCCACAAATAGCGTCCACTCCTGCAAGAAAGTAGCGCTAATGTAGATGGTTCTTCCTATAATTTTGATGAATCAATAAAAGCCCGCGTCATTTTTTACGTTAGCTTGTAGCTGACATGAAACACGGAAGTAGTATATAATTTGTGTGCAATGTAAATGTGTTATGTGCAATGCGTATTTTATTTTCATTTAATTGATTGGTGGTCTATCTTGGTACAGAGAGTACATATGTGTATTGACTACTTTGTTGCTTTAGTGGTTGTAAACGCGACTTTTATCATGAGGTCTCGTGTTCGAATTTCGGGTCGGATCAAAATCAGTAACTGATAATTTCTTGAGAAAAAGAAGGAGTCACTAAGTTGTGTGGTGTTTCACCCCCGAGCTTCGAAAAACACATCAACGTTGCATAGGGTTGCCGTACCATTGGACTATGCGAGTGAAGAAATAGAGAATGCACCTGTGCTTGCGGATATACTAGTGCACTATAATCCTATCTTTAGTTTCCTTTGAGACTGGCCACCAATTCAGTCTGAACGAAATTATCATTATGTGCATATGTCAGTAGTATGTACGTATACAAGTAGGTACGTGCACGTGTACAAGTGCGTGTGTAGTGTCTGCAGCGCAGTGTGCGCGTGTGTAGTATCTGCAGCGCAGTGTGCTCGTGTGGGCATGTATACGTGTGCAGTGTGTACGTGTGCATGTGTACGTGTGCATGTGTACGTGTGCAGTGTGTACGTGTGCAGTGTGTACGTGTGCAGTGTGTACGTGTGCGTGTGTACGTGTGCGTGTGCACGTGTGCGTGTGCACGTGTGCGCGTGTGCACGTGTGCGCGTGTGCACGTGTGCACGTGTGCACGTGTGTACGTGTGCAGTGTGTACGTGTGCAGTGTGTACGTGTGCAGTGTGTACGTGTGCAGTGTGTACGTGTGCAGTGTGTACGTGTGCAGTGTGTACGTGTGCAGTGTGTACGTGTGCAGTGTGTACGTGTGCAGTGTGTACGTGTGCAGTGTGTACGTGTGCAGTGTGTACGTGTGCAGTGTGTACGTGTGCAGTGTGTACGTGTGCAGTGTGTACGTGTGCAGTGTGTACGTGTGCAGTGTGTACGTGTGCAGTGTGTACGTGTGCAGGTGTACGTGTGCAGTGTGTACGTGTGCAGTGTGTACGTGTGCAGTGTGTACGTGTGCAGTGTGTACGTGTGCAGTGTGTACGTGTGCAGTGTGTACGTGTGCAGTGTGTACGTGTGCAGTGTGTACGTGTGCAGTGTGTACGTGTGCAGTGTGTACGTGTGCAGTGTGTACGTGTGCAGTGTGTACGTGTGCAGTGTGTACGTGTGCAGTGTGTACGTGTGCAGTGTGTACGTGTGCAGTGTGTACGTGTGCAGTGTGTACGTGTGCAGTGTGTACGTGTGCAGTGTGTACGTGTGCAGTGTGTACGTGTGCAGTGTGTACGTGTGCAGTGTGTACGTGTGCAGTGTGTACGTGTGCAAGTGTACGTGTGCATGTGTACGTGTGCAGTGTGTACGTGTGCATGTGTACGTGTGCAGTGTGTACGTGTGCAGTGTGTACGTGTGCAGTGTGTACGTGTGCAGTGTGTACGTGTGTACGTGTGCAGTGTGTACGTGTGCAGTGTGTACGTGTGCAGTGTGTACGTGTGCAGTGTGTACGTGTGCAGTGTGTACGTGTGCAGTGTGTACGTGTGCAGTGTGTACGTGTGCAAGTGTACGTGTGCATACGTACGTGTGCATACGTACGTGTGCAGTGTGTACGTGTGCATATGTACGTATGCATATGTACGTGTGCAGTGTGTACGTGTGCAGTGTGTACGTGTGCATGTGTACGTGTGCAGTGTGTACGTGTGCAGTGTGTACGTGTGCATGTGTACGTGTGCATGTGTACGTGTGCAGTGTGTACGTGTGCAGTGTGTACGTGTGCATGTGTACGTGTGCATGTGTACGTGTGCATTGTGTACGTGTGCAGTGTGTACGTGTGCAGTGTGTACGTGTGCATGTGTACGTGTGCATGTGTACGTGTGCAGTGTGTACGTGTGCATATGTACGTATGCATATGTACGTGTGCAGTGTGTACGTGTGCAGTGTGTACGTGTGCATGTGTGCATGTGTACGTGTGCAGTGTATACGTGTGCAGTGTGTACGTGTGCATGTGTACGTGTGCAGTGTGTACGTGTGCAGTGTGTACGTGTGCATGTGTACGTGTGCAGTGTGTACGTGTGCATGTGTACGTGTGCAGTGTGTACGTGTGCATGTGTACGTGTGCAGTGTGTACGTGTACAGTGTGTACGTGTGCATGTGTACGTGTGCATGTGTAGTGTAGTATAGCCCCCGCGACTATATATATGTCGGAGAATTACAACATAGGATTCCAATTTTGATCTTTGAAATACATCAGGACAGCGTTAACTGTTAAAAATAATAAAAGTGTGAGAGCGGATGTTCAACTTGCTCTCTTGCTTACGTAGTTTAATCATTATCAGTAATAAGACAACGTAACGCACTATACATTCAGTATAGTGAAATTACAGTTCGACCACACCGTAATACGTCTCAGCCACAATCACACACCAGTGTAACGTGAGGTACGTAATTACATGATAACACCAAAATATGTACAGCAACAGCAACGTTACTTATTTCAATTTAACACAGGGCAGCCTCTCAGCAACACCAATCCTCCTTGCCGGCACTAGAATAATTACAACAACGAACCGAACCACGACACTATCTTAGCACCAGTCGAATGACCACACCCGTTGAATGACTTGAGCGGAATCTCTCACGCACGGCACCTACAGTGTACTTTATACTACAGACACAAGAGGGGGTTTCTCGATATACCCTCCATTCTACCTCGACCCAACCGGGTATTTTATAGACGCTCCGACACGGCCGTCCTGACGTACGACCTTCCTCGGGCGTGTATTTTCATGCATTCCTGTAACAAACACTATTTAGTCACCAATTCGTCCGCTCGTCCGCCCTGACATGAGCAGGAACATAATATTAGTTCGCGAAACGAATTGTTAGATGGCGCTGCTTGTTGCACTATGGCGCCATCCACGACACGACCATCGCTGACTAGCATCCATCCTCGGTTGCAATGCCTGTAGACAAAAATATGCTTAGAGATTAATCTAGCTCGGCTATCCTGCCAATCGAAACAAGATCGATTCCAAATGGTACTTTACTTCTCCTAAGTCTAAGTACAAGAGCTAACTGTCATTATTGACAATGCCCTGTTATTAAGGCTTCGTACACAGTGCTTCCTGCACAACATGATTTATCGCGGAAGGTCCGATCAACAAGTTCCAACACAGTAATTTTAACACTTTTTTTCACTCTTTACAATTCATAAGCAATGCATATTCAACTCGTGAAACTTTAATTGAAATCTGTGCACCAACACAGACCAGAATCGCACCAACGATTCGTTACATATCCGCCGTCACATATGCCAGAATCGCACCAACGATTCTCCACATATCTGCCGTCATATATGCTACAATACACAAGGGGCTCTGTGCACCAACACAGGCCAGAATCGCACCAACGATTCTTTACATATCTGCCGTTACATATGCCAGAATCGCACCAACGATTCTCCACATATCCACTGCCAAATATGCTACAACACATCTGCCGCCACATATGCCAGAATCACACCAACGATTCCCTACATATCTGCCGCCAAATATGCACCAACACAGACAGAAATCGCACCAACGATTTCCTACAGACCCATCGCCACATGTTACTCATGAGGTGCGGTCTAAAGTTTTGAGTACGAGCATACAAGCATTCTTAATCAAATTTGGTCTCACTACCACTGTCATCAACTATGACATCTAACTCTCGAGGAACTTGGTGATCGGGGATCTTCCTCACATGATCATGGGGTATTTGTTACTTCGCATACGAATATGACCACTTCCGGTTGAATTTACAATATTTTTTACACTTTTGCCACAACACAATCTTTGACGAGAGGGCATTCGGCCCAGAATCATAATAAAATAGGTACGACTCACCAGTATTCATCAGCACACCGCTGTGATTGCTCACATAGCAAACATCAACACGTCGCTCACTGCTCGCCTCTGCGGCAGGCGTAAGGCAAGCGCACGTGGCTATTAAAACAAACCAGCACACGCCATAGTTAGCTGCCATGAAGCAAGCTCACATGGTCAAAACAACAGCACAGGGCGTGCCGCACTCGCACAGCGAGCCGTCGCATCTCACCAGCGCCAGCGAGACGCTGCACCGTACCACGCACTCCAAGCGTCAACGGGAGCAGCAGGAGCACCTGAGGGTACACAGGTATCATCGAGGTTGCCGTCATCATGATCTACGTGAAAAACAAGTTGTTTATTATCAGGACAACATACACAGTTGCCTATCCTCTCATCCATCACGCATACGAGGCCCTCAAACAGAAATACGCTCTCATACCGTGGACTATAATAACTTCGCTTTCATAATTAAGCATACATCTCCATACGAAGTATCTCACACATACTTACTTGAACTTACGAAATCCTACGTTAACCACGAAAAAAAAAAAACGTGAACCAGGACAGTGCCTGCCAGGACGGAGCTTGATGCATGTTCAGAGAACACGACTTCTGCGCATACAGAATGTAAAACCCTTCTGCGCACACGACTTCCGAGGAACCACCATGTATAGCATACGCACGCTCCGGGATGGCGCCTGCGTATACGCGCATACGCATCTGCCGAAACCAGGCCATGCTACAACTGGACCTGGCTGTCCGTTCCGACTAGACAAGGCACAAACTCGCCTCACAGTCACATCACACGTGCTGCTGTAACATAAAAGAAAACACTAAAGAGATTCAGTCTGAACTTAATTTTAAAAAATGAAGTACAACTCTCGGGACACCATTTGCCTTTCCAGGGCACAATATACTGAGCTGCGGCTACACAACAACCTCTGGTATGGTCCGATCCTCATGTAAATTTAAATACTCTCTTCAATGTCGGAACTA